CATATTCATATATATAACATACATACATACATACATGATAACATAACATTCTATAACACATCAAAACAATTCGTCCAATTATTATCACCGGTTTTCTTCTCGCCAACATGATTCTTCTCTCGTGTTCCATTACCATTATTCTCTTGTCCTCGCAGTTTTGTCCTCCAAGCGCCGGCATTTTCTGGATCATCTTGCTTCTAATTTCGGGGGACAATTTTATGCTCTAGTGGATCGGCTGGAAGCTGCCCTCTCATCTTGTTGCTTCCGTGTCCCGCTCGCTCTCTTTGATCCTTTAGGCTCCGTTGCTCTCTCGAGGAATGTGTCCCTCTCTCTTTCTCGCTCTATTCTTGCTCTCTCTCTCTTTCTCTCTTTTGGTGTTATTCTATTTCTCTTCCATTAGATACTCTTATGCTCTCTTTCTCTGTCTCTCTCTGAATACTCTTATTCTCTCTCTCTCTCTCTTTCTCTGTAAATACTCTTATTCTATCTCTCTCCTTCTCTCTATGTACTCTTGTTTCTCTCTCTCTCTCTCTCTCTCTCTCTCTCTCCCTCTCTAAGTACTCATATTCTCGCTCTCTCTCTAAATACTCTTATTCTCTCTCCTTTTCTCTATAAATACTCTTGCTGTTTCTCTCTCTTTCTTTCCCTTCCTTATTTCCTCCCTTTTTCCTCCCTTTTTCCCCCATTTCCCTCCCTCTCTCCCTCCCTCCCTCATTTCCTCCCTCCCCCTCCCTCTCCCTCTCCCTCTCTCTCTCCCTCTCTCTGCATTTTTTACCAAAGCTTTAGAGGAGTAAGACTCATGATCCGTAAATAAAGCTATTGAGATCGGGGTTATGTTTTCGAGAAGAGACTATTTTTCGAGAAATTTTTGGCTCTTGTGTCTGCCGTCACGATAGCTCCTTGGTATGCCTTTGAAAGTTAGGCTTCGTCATGTCAGGGTAGGTCAAGTTACGGTAAGTCATGTCAGGCTAGGTTATGGCAAGCTAGGTTACGTCTGGCTAGATCATGTTAGGCTAGGTCACAGGAGGCTAGATCATGTTAGGCTAGGTCACGTCAGGCCAGGTCATCAGGCTAGAATCATAACAGGCTAGGTCATAGCAGGCTAGATCATGTTAGGCTAAGTCACAGCAGGCTAGATCATGTTAGGCTAGGTCACGTCAGGCTAGATCGTGTTAGGTTAGGTCACGTCAGGCTAGATCATGTTAGGCTAGGTCACGTCAGGCTAGATCATGTTAGGCTAGGTCACGTCAGGCTAGATCATGTTAGGCTAGGTCACGTCAGGCTAGATCATGCTAGGCTTAGACTAGGTCACGTCAGGCTAGATCATAGCACGCTAGGTCATAGCAAGCTAAATCATGCTAGGCTTAGACTAGGTCACATCAGACTAGATCATATTAGGCTAGGTCACATCAGGCTAGATCATAGCAGTCTAGGTCACAGCAGGCTTGATCATGTTAGGCTAGGTCATAGCAGGCTTGATCATGTTAGGCTATGTCCCATCAGGCTAGATCTTAGCAAGCGAGGTCACATCAGGCTAGATCATGTTAGGCTAGGTCACGTCAGGCTAGGTCATAGCAGGCTAGATCATGTTAGGCTTAGACTAGGTCACATCAGACTAGATCACATCAGGCTAGATCATAGCAGGCTAGGTCATAGCAGGCTTGATCATGTTAGGCTATGTCCCATCAGGCTAGATCTTAGCAAGCGAGGTCACATCAGGCTAGATCATGTTAGGCTAGGTCACGTCAGGCTAGGTCATAGCAGGCTAGATCATGTTAGGCTTAGACTAGGTCACATCAGACTAGATCACATCAGGCTAGATCATAGCAGGCTAGGTCATAGCAGGCTTGATCATGTTAGGCTATGTCCCATCAGGCTAGATCTTAGCAAGCGAGGTCACATCAGGCTAGATCATATTAGGCTAAGTCACATAAGGCTGAATCACATCAGGCTAGGTCATATTGGTCTAGGGGACATAGGCTAGGTCACACCAGGCTAGATCAGAGCAAGCTAGGTCACATCAGGCAACTTCATATCATCTAGATCAGGCTAGATCATGTTAGGCTAGGTCACGTCAGGCTAGATCATGTTAGGCTAGGTCCCATCAGGCTAGATCTTAGCAAGCGAGGTCCCATCAGGCTAGATCAGAGCAAGCTAGGTCACATCAGGCAACTTCATATCAACCTAGGTCATATCCTAAAACTCCATAGCCTTAAATCATAAGAAAAGAACACCATAAAAAAATATTCTACGATTCCTTTCCTTATAATATCAACTCCATAGCCTTTAACCATAAGAAAAGAATATCATAAAAAATATTCCACGATTCCGATTCCGCACCCCAGTTTACATTATAATGGAAACTATCATTATGTAAGCTGATTATTGTAAATTTAATCCTTTATCGGACCAGAAACCATCCCAGTTT